GTAGGGAAGCGTGACATCAGGACGACTAAGGGGAGTCGAAACTTGTGAATTTTGGAGGGGACTCTATTTATGAGATATGTGGCAGTTAGAATGACAGCGTTTTAAAAATGTTTCAAGACATTGGATTGAAACATAATGAAGCGAACAACGTCAAGGAGGTGACACTCGGCTGTCCCATTTTGTTGAGGAGTGTTTGTACAAGAACTATGATGTGGGATGCCTTTACTAACCAAAAAGTCACTCAAAATAGAGTTGAAAAACTCATGACCATTGTCAGTTCGAAGGACCTGAATGAGAGTTTTGAATTGAGTTAAGACAAATGTGTAGAAGTTTTGGAATGTTACAACACATTCTAATTTGTTATTTAAAATGTAAACCTGCGTCATTCGAGAGTGGTCATCAATTAAGGTTAAGAACCGCTGTTTGTGGGTGTAGTTGAGAGGGCGAGAATGACCTCATATGTTACTGTGAATGAGGGATAAATGAGCAGAAGGTGTGTAAGTGTGAGGTGGGTAATGATCCCGGTGATATTTGGATAACTAACGTGTCTCACAATTGAAGTTTGAGATATTTTTATTAGAAAACATTAATGGATACAACTTTTTCAAATATTGAAAACTAGGATGTCCTAAAAGACAATGTAACAACATAATGGGGCATTCCATTAATGACTCGAGATAGGCTACAACTTTTGAGTGTCGTGTCTTCACTCTCCGTGTTCTTCTTTTGGAAGTAGTAAAATCCAACTACCCTTTTAGGAGTTTCAATCATTCTTCTTGAACAACAATCCTGAAAAATGCAACCATCCAAAGAGAAATTAGCAATGCAATCGATATCACTTGTCAACTTGTTGACAGATAATAAGTTACATTGCAATTGAGGAATATTCATATGTTGAGTCAGTCTTTGGAGGCTCACGAATCATACCTGTGAGATGATCGAACTTTCCACGTCTTTTGATGAACAAAGAAATCGCTTGAGACCATTGGAGGAAGTTACTGTCGTTCAATTTATGAGTTGTGATCAAGAAATTCATGTTGGCTTCCAGTCCTCCGGTCTGCAAGGGGCCGGAGGCTGGAGATGATCCTCCATTGGAGTTAAGAATCGCCTTCTGAGGGTGATTCATTGAAAGAATCAACCATAATTCTGACCAAGCCAAAGGATATGTTGTTTTGGTTTTGAGCCCTCAATGAACTTTGGTAGAATCATGCCAAACAGATACAACTGCAGGAATTGTAGATAACAGAACAACTGCAGAATTCTTCATGCGGAATACCGACAGCAGGAGGAATCTGGAGGTTAGGAATCTACAAGAACAGCAGATAGGATGAATCCCTCTGGAATTGAACCTGTAGGAACAGGATGAATCCTTCTGGAATTGGGCCTGCAGGAACAGTAGCAACAGAAGGAATATGACGGACAAGAATCTGCAGGGAAGGAAAAAAACTAGCTGCTTGAAGTATTCCTGCAGTTGGCAGGAAGAGATCTGAAGGAGGACCGACTCAGAATTGTCGGTCCGCAGAAGGAATCTGAAGGATTCTTGTAGTTCGCTGGAATAGAAGGATACCAGCCTACATGAATCTAAAGGATTCCTGCAGTCCGTAGGAAGGAATCTAGCTTTTCGTGACCACAGATTTACTGGAATACCATGACTTGGCAGAGGAGGCCCTTAGCTAGGAGTAGGTAGAGGCGGCATCTGTTGGAACCGGTAGAGGATGCCCGGGGTTGTTGGATCTAGGGTTAGGCTCCGATACCATGTTAAGATTTGAAATAGACCAACACAATTTTATTGATAGGAGGAGGGATATTTAAACCCAATTACAATATGCATAATAATGGAAAGCAATAAAAATAGAATAAAATAACAAGGAAAGAAAATGAACAGAATAAAGCAAAAGAGGAAAAATATAATCAGAGAATAAAATCAAATAAATAATAAGTAATAATGATATAATGTAATAATGATATAATCTAATACTTATATACCACCCTTCATCATTCTTTGGTATCAAAGACAATGGTCCTGATTGCATATTTCTTGTGAGATGAATTTAATGATTTTTTTTTTCTTTTGTTGAATTTCTTAGGTGTGAAGTTTCTTCCTTGCATCTTGAAGTTTTAATCCTTATTATTTTCCCAAATTTCGTCTCTCCTACCCGACATTTCGAACTTGGTAGTTAATAGTATTGGTCCTTGGTGGGATTCCGTTGAGATTTTACTTGGAATGGAGACATTGAGTTAGTATGAAGAGTTTTATGCTAGCAGGGCATATTAAATTCAAGTTTATTTCTCTTCGAGAGGCAAGTGAATTTCCAAATTCTATTTGGTTCATGTATAGAAGAATTTGGCCAATGCATTTGGAAGATATATTTGTTTTGGACAGCATGATGAATTTGGCTGCATTTGAAAGAAGCAAGCATCTTCTTTCATGAATCATAACATCAAGAAGGAGGATTCTGAAGAGTCGAGGAGAAGATAATGAAGAGAAAATAATGAATCTAATTCATGGTTTATGCATTTTGTAGTTGCCTCCTCTCCTTATAAATGTTATTTAAATAACTTTTAAAATTACACCTTGATACATGTATTAGTAATTCTATATGTTCCTTCGTAATCCTTTGGAAGAGTAAGAATGAAATGAGTTGTTATCGGAATACATTCCTTGTTTGCAATGTAGTTAGGATAGACTTGGTGATCTCCTCATGGAAGATTAGATGATCCTTGATAAAAATAATTATTAGAATCATGATAAAGTTTTCACACTTAAGAATTGAGAATGCATTCTCCCCCCTACATCTTTGTTGGATTTCTTTGGGGAGAAATTTTTTGTAACTTGAAGCTTTGATCCTTTTTCTCGTCCCAAAATTCCACCCTTCATGCTTATACCTCTTCTATATTCATTTTTATTTTTCTTTTGTTGCAAAATGAATATGAAGTTTAGAACTTAGTGGTTATTAGTATTGGGCCTTGGTGGGATCCAATATTTCTGATAGATTTTGCTTGGAATGGCTATTTTGAGTTAACATGAAGAGTTTTGAGTGGTTATTTCATCTATCTTGTTATTTGTCGCATCTTGGACTTTGTTTTTTTTTTCCGTTTACTATTCATTTATAATTCGCATTACTTGTTTCCTCTTTGTTATCATTGCATGTTTATTTTCATTTAAATTTCCAAAATTTTTTCCCACATCACCAGTTAATTCTACGTTGTAGACTTTATAAGAGGAGAGTTAATGTTGGATGATGAGCGGACTTCTATATCATTGAATTATCATTTTTTTTAGAGTTTTCCTCTTTATTATAAGATTGATTATGACAGCATTTTTGTATTAATTCAAATGCTGAAATGTTCAATGTTTTGTGATTTAGACTATAAAGTCGACAATTCAAAAATCAAGTCAATTTATCATTTCATTGTGCCACCTCATCGACTGGTCAACATATAAATATTTTATTTAAAATCATCAAGTCATGTGCTAATTTATCATGAATTATGGGCAATGCATGAGTGTGAAATAAAGGTGAAGAATATGAACAGCCATAATTGAAACAAGGAAGCAAACTTCATGTCGAAGCATGTATTAATCAACCATAAATTTATTTAGAAGTTGAAGACACAAATAATGTATCAATTTCATGGATTCATGCACCCTTATATGGAATTCAAATTGTCTTTTCAATCTTACCATGATATATGCATTAAAATTCTATAAATACCCTTGTAATGCTTTGATAGGGAATTTTATTGGATTGTTGTTGGAATACTTTGCTTGGATTGCAACCTATATATAGGTTAGATTTAGTCTTCTTCTACTTATGGAGGATTTCATGATCCTCATTTCAAGTTTCCACACTTGAGAAATAGAATCGTCTTCTCCAACCTTCATTTTGATATGTTTAACTCAAATTTACTTTGTCAAAACATTCACATATCATGATCATGTAATACTACATATATATAATTGTATATATTTTGTTGCATAGTATAAATTTATAAATGAATATTAATGCATACATACAAATGATATTATCAAATCTAAATGTGCTTTCTAGTAGACTTAAATTTCTCTTGAACTAAAATAAAAAATATTTGATTTTGAATATACAATGATTTGCTTGAATTTGACTCAACATCACCCTTACATTCTATTGACAAAAATCCTACTTTTATTAACTCCTGCTGTTCTGGCAGGAATAATTGTAATGCATTAATGAATCAAAACTCCATAATAAATCATCATGTTTTTTTTTATTTCTTTGTTTATCAAAAGGTTTCTATTTCTGTTCTTTAAAGAGGTTGCATTTATTTGTTTTTCCCTATATTATTGATTGTGTTGCTATTCGAATTTCTGTCTACTATCAAAATAAACTTTCTTAATTTTCATTGGGAATTTTTTTGGTGCAACATGTGCCTACAACTCATTAATCATATCATAACATAAATAACACCTCATGCATGTTTAAATCTTCTCTTTAGAATTATTTTATTGTATTTCTTAGTTGTAAAATAATTTCTTAGGTTGTATATGTATATACCACTTCCGGTGTGTTTGGGGCAGCTGCAACGGTTTGACTGAAGAAAACTGCTAAAGAGGAAGCTGTCATTCAAAATGTTATGCTGGCAACTATAAAAAATTATCTTTTGAAAAAATCAGATCACAACTTTCTAATAACCACTGCAGGTAGTCAGGCCTGATGGAAAAATGTCTGTAACTTTTTGAGAAAACAGACAAAACGTAATTTGTGTGGTACCGAAGAGCCGCGGTACCGTAGGGCCGCCCCAAACGCATCTTTAAATCTTTAATTGACAAATAATAATAATAAAACTATTACTAACTTTTAAAAAATAAAATACACTTTTTCATGTATAGGTTTATAAATGTAAATATCAAACTATAGGTTTTAGATATGTAAATACATAAATATGTAGTATCTATGTAAATTTAACATTTTTTTATGCAATCAACTAATGCACTGCATTATTATTATTTTTTTCTCAAGGTATGCGAAGAGATGTCAATATGTTGATCTTCTTGGACTTGAGAAAGGCATTGCAAGGTAGAAATCTCATCTAAACAAATGTCATACTTTTATATTAAAATATAGGAAGATTTACATACTTACCTCGTAATTCCTATGCATTTACAAATCTACCGCCTAAGCTTTTCTTTTTACATCCCACCTTACCTCTTGAAAATGTTTAGTTCACTTGAAATATGAAAGATGTGTGTGGTATAAATCTATAGATTTGTAAATACATAGAAATTGGGTGGTATGTTTGTAAAGTCCCCTAAAAATAATAATTTATGTTTCCTTGTTTTTCACAGATGGAATGAGGTTCTATGTTTCGGACAACAAAGTCATACTGACAGAGGGTTTTGATGGCATAGTTCCAGCAAAGTATTTTGAGAAGATGATAACTTGGCCTGGGAGACACAACATACCCTTTGGACAAATATAATGAGTAAGAGTTTCCTGCTTTTATGTTCTATTTATGTTGCATTTTATTTATAAATTGTATGGCTTTTTAATTTACTTTTAATATTTATAATTTATGGGATAATTTACATACAAACCACCTGAAATATTGATATTTACAAATTAAGCACCGGGGGATCTTTCTGAACCGCCAAACCGTTGTATTTACACGTGTCACTATCAAACTGTTGAGAATTTGATAAAAATGGAAAATATGGGTTGGGCGTTTAACGTGAATTTTGATATTTGAGCGAGAAGTTGAAAAATGGATGGAAGAGGATGGTTGATTTGTAAATAGTAAGTTTTCGGGTGATGTGTATGCAATTGGACCATAATTTACTAAATTTGTGACGTGAAGACTTGTAGGTAGTGTTGGACAGGGCGAGGAAAATTGAGAATTTATTAGCAGGGAGAAAAGGTATGGTTGGGTTGATTGTTAGTGGCGTTTACATGCATACCACACAATTCTTTTGGTTTTTACATATCTAGCATCTAAAATTTCATATTTACATACATAACCATGTAATCATTAATATCACATCAAAAGTAGTACATATGTTCAATGCACCAAAGTCCTATAAATTATTATTATTATTATTATTATTGTTTATTTAGGCATGTTTGGCATGTATGTAAATACCCCCTTTTAAGCTATGTTTTAGGCCAATTTTATAGCATATTATCGTATGGCATTAGTATTGTGGCTATGAAAAACAAAATTGGGGTTGCACGAGTGAACGTATCTTATGCCTTGGAATTATTAAAATGGTATTTTTATGGCTTAAAATGCTTATGTTTTTAAGCATCTAACACACCGTGTTCCCAGCTCTGTTGGTAGAGCATCCGTTTCGGCGGTGTAAGCCTCCTCTGGACTAGGGTTTGAATCCCCTCAAACGACTGATGTTGGGTTTGACACATGGGTCCAACCCAGACCTGACGGGTTGCGAGTCAGGGGTGCTTGGCGGTTCCGCCCGTCACCCTTCATGTTTTTATGCATATCTTTCATAATTTTAAAATTGCATTAGAAATTTCATAATTATTATCTTTTTGAGAGTGAAATATATGTTTCATATATAAGTTTATAGCACTAGTATTAGAGTATAATAGACATGTAAACACATAAAAATTGTTTGGCATGATGTAAATTTCCCTTTTTAAAAAATGGGGAAGGGGTAGTTAAATCATGATGACATAATAAATAATTTAATTAACATAATATTTCTGGTAATTATACAAATTATGCCTAATTTCAAAACCAAAAAAATAAATAAATGATATATGATATGTATGTAATAATATTATAACTATTACAAAAGATGTTATTTCCTGGAATAACATCAAATACCCAATAATGATATTTGATTAATAATGTTTTGCTATAAATTAATGTAAAAAAGGTTCATAAATTGAAACTAATTACAGCATGATTTCATTTGAGTTTAATTTTACGCCAGTCAAAAAAAATCTCCGTGCGATAGACGTACGCAACGCTGCGTACAATATTGGGTTTATATCGAGGGTACAAGGGGGTTATATCAGGGGTAGAACCCCTTGTAACGTCCTTGTAACCTTCTCTAACCTAAAATAAATTTCGCGCTTTTGTTATCATATATTAAGAATTTATTAGTAGGTTACAAGTAAGTTACAGAATATTACAGAGATGTTACAATGGATTATACCGCGGATATAACCCCATTGTACCCTCGTTATAACCTCAATATCGTACGCAGCGCTGTGTACGTCTATCGCAAATTTTTTCCGTTTCCTTGGAGAACTTATAGATGATTTACATGCATACGATTCAATTCCGACGTATTTATACATCACGACACGTAAAATTCAAATATTATATATATGCCCCCCACCATTCTCTATGCATGGAAAAGGTCTATGTGAAATACTTATAATAATGATATTTTTTTATGTGATTTAATAGATTTGGGTGATAGAGATGTAAAGAACTATTGAGGGGCAGATATGTAAATACATAGGAATTGAGTGGTTTGTATGTAAATGCTCCCTTTCCTTTGCAATTTTTTTTTCAAGCAATTGTTTCATAGTCCATCAGTATAAACTTCAAGCACTTCAAGAAAGGTTAGTCTAAATACCTCATATTCACATTAACAACAAACTAATAATTGTCATAATTAAGAGTTAATGATCCTATGAATATTTTTATGCAAATCAAATTGATTTAAGAAAATAATGCAAATGTCAAAAAATAATACAAATTGATAATAAAAATACTAGACAATTGACACCTAAAAGAAGGGATTATAAAGAGAAGGGGCCTTTACATGCATGCCACCCTATTCCAATGTATTTACATATGTAACACCTAACTTTACCTTTCTATGTTTACACCACCTAAATCTTTAATATCACATAAAAAAAAATATCACTATTTTAACTTATCAAAAGTAAAGTAACTTTTACGTTCATGTCTAAGGTGGCGTGTATGTAAAAATTGAAGTTTAGGTGTTAGATGCGTAAATACATAAGAATTAAGTGCTATGTATGTAAATCATCCTAATGAAAGAATGAAAGCAAACAAATTACACAATATGGCAAGCATGTATGAATAAACAGCTTCCTTGCAAAAAAATTAGCCAGAATGACTAAAAAAGACTGTTCATAATAACTATGAAATTTTAACTTTGGTCAGATGTATGAAGATTTCAAACTTGTTCTAAGAAATTCATCTCTAAACAATTCCCTCAAACATCAACTTAACTCTTCATTCCAGAACTCTCCAAAGGACTTCTCTTAGAACCTTATCGTAACCTTTTTCTAAACCAATAAAAATCACATGTAGATCCTCCTTGTTCTCTTTGCATTTCTTCATTAAACCTATCAATAAATGTATATCTTCCATAGTAGATCTACCCAACATAAATCCAAACTGATTATGAGAAATCTTTGTATCATGTCATAACCTATGTTTAATTACTCTCTCATAATGTTAAAGTATGACAAATCAACTTAGTTCCTCTATAATTTGCACTCTTGTGCATCTCATTATTCTTAAAAAAAGGTGACCAAAACACTCTTCCTCCACTCCCGGACATCTTCTTTACTAATACAACTGTAAGAATAAAATATTTAATTATTATTAATGATATTAAGGTCGCTAAGGTTGATGCTATTTTTTAGAAATTTCATTAAAAAATTTATCAAAATAGCTCATTCACATTTGTTGAATATGTTCCTCTAAGAAAAAATACTTTTTGATTTTCATTTTTAATACCCTTTATTTTAATTAAATCTTTACTTTTATTTTCTCTTTATTTGACTAGTTTATACATATATTTTTTATATTCTTTAGTAAAGATCATTAAAAGCAGAATTTTTAGTTCCAGAAATTGTTCTCTTACACCCTAGGAGTCACCTTAAATTTTTCTCAGTTCTTTAAGCGTTTACATTTAAACTAATTTTTATAACACAATTTCTTATATTTATCTTTGCTTGCACATTATTATTCTGCCACAAATTATTTTTATTTATAAAAACTTTTCCTTTGACTCTCCAAGTATATTTTTTGTCACTTGTTTAATAGTGCTTATTACTTTATTGTACATAGAATTAGCTTCTTGACGAACATCCCAAATCTTGAAATCTTGAAGTTTACTCATAAAAATAATTTTATTTGTCTTTTAAATGCCCACATCTAATTTTATGACAATGTTTCATTATATTCTTTATCTTACAACTCCTCATCTTAAAATTCAGAACTAATAATTTATGTTGAATACTTAAATTTTTATTTAAAATGACATTGCAAACTTTACATTCTCGACGATCTCTTTTTTTTCATAAGAAAATAATCAATTTATGTTTTATTAGATCCATAATTATAAGTAATAATATGTTTATATATTTTTTTAAATAAAGTATTAGCAATAATAAAGTCCAATGCTAAAACAAAAAAATTAATATAGTTCTACATTATTCATTAATCACTCTAAAATCATAGTCCCCGTGAATATTTCTAAAATCATCATGTCTATTTAAATCTCATCTGATATTTTTTTTTTTGTTGAAAATGTATCATTTATATTAATTATTCTAGATCATTTCAGAATTGTTCTTTTGAACTCATATTTAAATATACTTGAATAGTATAAACACTTATAACATTAAAAATCTTAATATCAACCACCATCTTTTGGGCTATAATTATATCTTAAATTCTATTAATTTTTATAATATTATCTTTCAGACACTTATCTATAATTACACTTACACTATTTTTAGTGTGACTCCTACTTGAATACCAAAGTTTAAAATCTAAGTTATCAATCTCTTTATCATTTTCTCTAATGCATTTAGTTTCTTAAATACATAAGATATTTATCTCCTCATGAATATCTACTAATTTAATTAATATATTCGTGAAAGTACCTATATTCCAAGATCATATCATTTGCTCACATCTGCCTGTAATATGAGAACTTTTACTTATTTGACAATACACCTAGGCGCTAATGTAACGACCTTTGCACACCTTTCACTGTATTAAAATCATATAGTGCATCAATTCCAGGGTACAACATAGCATTTACACGACTTAAATAATTCATCTCACAACTTTTTGACAAAATTAGTATGCTGGTTGTCGATTACCTAATGCAACTCCTCCATTTTTTAGGCCTATTTCTGCCTTTTTTTATCATAAGTTGAATCTAAAATATCCTAGTCTCTTAACTGGATCATCAAATGATTGACATTTGATGTGGCGAAACCATCTAAGATAACTCTATCTAATCTTGTCAGCCACTGGAGTTACACCAACCGTATCATGGATATAATCATTTCACATTTTGTCTAAGAGTCATGCCACTCATCCGCCTAAGTATTCTCATCCCAACACCACTTAATTTTGATTTATACTTCTCTTGTAAAGGCCAACATTCTGCATCATAGAGTATTGTAGGTCTCATTGTCATCTTATAAAATTTTCCTCTAAGTCTAAACGATACTTTTCTATCACACAATAGACCCGATGCATTCCTCCACTTCAACCAATTAATTTGAATTCTAAGTGATGGTGATAAGATCACCATCTCCACCATCACTTAGAACAATAGATATGAGATATTTAAAACATTCACACAATTTAATGATTTGATTACCCATAGTTACAACTCTGTCATTAGAGCTACTACCACTAAAATTACATTCTGTGTTTTCAGTTTTAGATCTGCTCAAACGAAGGCCT